AATGTTAGTACACATAAACAAAAAAATAATACATCCAAGATATGTTAAAAGAAATTATAATTAATTAAAAATAATAATATTTAGAATCATAAAAAACATACATGCTGCAAGAATATCAACAATCAAAAATCTAAGTTGCAACTATCTCAATAGGGTAGTCTATTCAAAGATGTCCTAGTTTCTTGTATTCAAATCATATTGTGTTAGATTAGCTTTAAATTTTTATTACTTTTACCTTTGTTCCATTTTTTTAATGGAATTTTTACTTCCTCTTTAGGAAACTTTGAACTAATGGGTCATCAATGCAATGTCATCATCCTCCTCCGCTATAGAATTGTCACTATCCGCATCATTTTCCTTTAGAGCCATAGTTTTCTTTGTCTTCTTGTCACCTACTTCAAGTATCCTTTGACTCACTCATTGCTTGTAGGCAATGAGTGACCCAAGCAAGTTGTCAATTGAGTATACATTTAAATCTTTTGATTTTGAGATAGCAAAAAGATTAACTTTTTTAGATTAGAAAATTCTCTATATAGTGCATGCAAGGATGTCACTATCTAGGTGAACCTAGTATACATTTTACATATAGTTTTGATAGGTTTTATACAAAATAGTTTATAGTCATGCAATAAAATATTTAATCTAGACTATTTAACTTCACTAGTAGATACTCGCATATAGTCCTCATATTTCAACGCACATAAAAAATAATTCAAACATTTAGCATTTAATTATAAAATTTCTCTATCCACATGACTTCATTCAATAAAGGGAATATCAATTTTGACACCATTAACTACTCGAGATAGAAGTGAATAACCAGTTTGAATATCGTACTGCATGATTAGTAGCGTACATTATGATTAGTTTAAAATTCATTTTTCAAAATTCTTACTCGATTTATCTTGAGGCTAGGGTTTCTCAAATCAAGACAAATCGCACATTATGATTTGCATCGTATAATATTATTAATTCATTAATATTAATGATTCAATTAGCTATTAGCCTTCTTCTTCATATAATTGTTCATACAATATGATTGTAATCGTACGATATGTAGTTCAAAAATTTTACTTCTCAAATTTTCCTCACTCCCCCTATGTGTGTACATAGTCAACAATTTTTGCATATACCCTTACATGGCCACACTAAATAAATAGAAAATATAAAAAGTTAAAATTATAGACTATTGATTGACATCCTATTATACCCAAAATTGTGTCTTCAGTAATCTTGAGTGGTGTATATTGTACCTGAAATGTTAGTGTGCATAGAAAAAAAAATCCAATATATATTATAGGAGAATTAAAATCCCAATCAATAATGTTTGTTAACATTAAAAACACAAGTTAGGGATCCTAGATTGCAACATATTCAACATGATCTCTTGCATGAGTTACAACAAAATTTGACAAAAGTTATATCCCCTTTTGTGAGAAAATTGAAGCTTTGAAACAAGGTGAAGAACTTTTTTTTAATCCAAAATCTTCCAAATGGATACAACCAAAACCCTTTAAAGTGGAAGATTGAACTTTCATTGTAGGGATTAAACATCTTGTGCTTCACTTACAACTCTACCTATAAAGTAGTTCGATATTTTTGATAGCTAAATGCTAAAGCTTGTAGATGGAGAATACTTAACCTATATAAGATAGCATTGAGCATCTTTTAGGAGATAGAATCAAAACCTATAAAGAGGGAAATATATTATTTGAACTTTCTCATAACTTTGAAGGATAATTCATTACTTTTGATGGAGGAGCACTAAACTATATAAAAATAGACATGCACTATCTATTTAGGAAGATTTTATATTAGAGTTTACAAAGTAAAAATTGTGCGACATCTATACATGACGATAGAAAAATTCTTTTGTATATAAAAATAGATCTTATATGGAGAGAAAAAGATAATTCACCCCACTATAAGGGGTATTTATATTTAAAAGAGGGCAGTGAAAATTAAAAAAAATTATAATTCATAATTGATACGACATCACAAAATCATCTTGATCAAGCACGAATCTCGAGGCAAAAACTAGTTGGAAACTTTAAAAATTAATTTCAGGAGCATATGAACTCCGATTTCAGCGATCTTATAGTCAAACTGAGCGTCTCGGAAATACGAACCCAACGACACCAAGATAAACCCAATCCGAGCCCAAATGAGTCTGAATCAAGGGTTCAAAGGGCTGTTGGAAGGTTCAAACCGCAATTTGAGTTATCAAACAATCTCCGATTTTGACGAGCTTGTACTCGAATCGAGCGGCTCGACAAGACGAATCCAACGAGTCCAAGATCATTGAATTCCGACATCATTAAGGCCTTCAAATGCCCAACGAACGATGCATGATCAAAGGATTCGATATCGGCCGTCCATTCAAAACACTCCCAATTCGCCCATGATCTCACGCCTATTTACGGGCTATGCCACTCCAGAAAAATTATAAATAGAGCCCTCATTCTACACCAAGGGGACTCAAGTGAGGAGAGAGAAGAAGAAGAGTAGTAGAAGGAGAAAGGGGAATAGGAGATTCCTCACCTCCTCGACCACCGCCGCCGGAGCTCTTCCTGCCGCCTGAAGATGCCGGAACTCTGCCGGATTTTCGAGAAACACCAGGAATTCGCAGAAGAAGAAGGGGAAAGGGGAAAAGGAGATTCCTCACCTCCTCGACCACCGCCGAAGCTCTTCTTGCCGCCTGAAGAAGCCGGAACTCTGCCGGATTTTCGGAAAACGCAGAGAATCTGCAGAATTTTGTAAACTTCTTGGGAGAAACAAATTGTATTCGGATTATCCCAATTTGTGGGACGATTAAAAATATTAATGTTTTAATTTCTCAATCTCTATTCATATAGTATGATCTGGGGTCATATAGTACGATTAGTTTAAAAATACAATATGTCTAGTATAATGATACTAGTCTTTCAGACGAACTGGTCATATTTAACAAACATATCATACAATATGAATGTAACTTTGTACATTACGACTAGTTTAGACTTTCTCTATTTGTACAGGATGATAATAGGGATGTTTAAAAATCATCTATGTCGATCATTCATTATGATTCACATTGTACAATATTGTTGGGGTAATATCAATAGTTTGCATAGTATGATATAGATATCATATTATACGATTAGTTCAAAAATTAAGGTTTTATCTGGTACAATCTCTTGGAAGATCATATTTCATCTCTATCAATCATACGGTATGATCAAGATTGTACATTATGATTAGCAACATTTAAATAACCATGATTTAATTAACCAATTATGGGGGATAATTTAAGTAAGATTTTAAATATCATATAGTATGGTTAATATCATACCATATGATTAGTTCAAAATTTATTTTTTAAAATACTTAATTTATATAGTGGATAAGGTTCTCATATCAAGACAAATCATACAGTACAATCTATATCGTATTGTATGATTAGTTGATTAACATTAATGATTCAATTATCTATTAGCCTTCTTCTTTGTATAACTAATCGTACAATATAATTATAGTCATATGATACGGCTAGCTCAAAAAAATTACTTCTCAAATTTTCCTCACATCCCCTGTGTGTTTGCACGGTCATCAATTTTTTCATACACCCTTAGACTAAAAAAATATAAAATATAAGAAATTTAAAGTTATAGATAGTGGTGATTGACATCCTATTTTACCCAAACTTTAGTCTTCGGTAATCTTGAGCTGTGTATATTGCACCTAAAATATTAATATGCATAGATAAAAAATAATATCCAATATATATTCTAGGATAATTAAAATCTCAATCAATAATGTTTGTTATAATCAAAATCACAAGCTAGGGATCCTAGATTACAACAATCTATCCCTTTTTTATGATGACAAATATTTTTTTGTTGAAGGGCAATTTAATGTTCTTTTCTCCTAATCTCCCCCTCACTAGGTGAAAGATTCAAAAAACATGGGTAAGAAAAAAAATTTTGATTGATTTTTTTGATAATAACATAAAATAAAAGAAATCAAAAGAACTCAAATAAAATTGCAAGAAAAAAAAAACTACTCGTAGGGGAATATAAAATTGCAAGACAAATTTTGATTGATTTTTTTTTTTACGGCATACATATGATGATGACATCGTACGATAGAATCAATTCGGAAAAAATATTAAATTCATTGAGATGAAAAGGGACCCGTTCAACTCGCACTCTAGATGGCGTACATATGATGATGACATCATACAGTACGATCCATACTTAGAAACATTTTATATCTTTCTGTTCGTTTGACTACTCGTAGGGGAAAATAACAAATCAAATCATCCTGTACGAAATAACTTCGTACTGTACGATCAGTTCAAAAAATTTATAACTTTTAAACACTCCTCTGGTGTGTGTGTGTGCATAGTTACTCAATTATAAGCACACTCTCTCAGACTCAATAAAATGAAAAATATATACTTCATTTACAATAAATCCTAAACTGATCTGATTTGAAGTCTTCAACAAATTAGAGTATGATTTCTCTGAAATGTTAGTATACACATATAAAAAAATAATACATCCAAGATATGTTAAGAGAAATTATAATTAATTAAAAATAATAATATTTGGAATCATAAAAAACATACATGTTGCAAGAATATCAACAATTAAAAAACTAAGTTGCAACTATCTCAATAGGATAGTCTATTTAGAGATGTCCTATTTTCTTGTATTCAAATCATATTGTGTTAGATTAGCTTTAAAATTTTTATTACTTTTACCTTTGTTCCATTTTTTTATGGCATTTTTACTTCCTCTTTTGAAAACTTTGAACTAATGGGTCATCAATGCAATATCATCATCCTCCCCCGCTATAGAATTGTCACTATCCGAGTCATTTTCCTTTAGAGCCATAGTTTTCTTTGTCTTCTTGTCACCTACATCAAGTATCCTTTCCGCTCAAATAATATTTTAATACAAATTGTTTTTTAAACGCAGTTAAAAAATAATAATCAAACACCACAAACAAAGCCTCAGTTCTCTTCAAGAATATATATATATATATATAAACTGTAAGATTTCCATAGACTTCTCAATAGCATCTAAAATATGAGGTTTAATTAATCAAGTCTTAGATTAGTATCCCATACTGCTTCAGCTAAAATCAAATATTTTATAGCATGACTGATGGAAAATTTGCTTCCTCGAGAAAATTAGTTAACAGCGATATGGGAAAAATAGTATTTCAGGCAGAAGAAGCAGAAGTAGAAGCACCGCCGGTGTTCTCTCGTGGGGGCACTCCTAGAATTGACTTCATCATGTCGTATGCAGTAAAACCGATGGCCACTGAAGGAATCACCTGCAACATTTTAAAATACATCTTGAGACTGTTATTTCACACTTTCTTTCTTAGATTATTATTATATTTTATTTCATTATAATTTTCTTACTGCCTGCTAAAATATTCTGGCGATACAGGAGCAATTTACAATCAGACAAATTAGACGTGGTGGTTGTGAGAAATTTTTTTTTTTTTTTTTTTTTGGAAAAGATAAAAAGGTTCATAATAATCAAAATAATTTTTAAGATTAATACTAATCTTATAACAAATTCAAACAATAATTTGAAGTGCATCCTAAATAAATTTGTATAAGGTACCCTGAAACAAATTTTATTCTTTTCAAAAAATTTGTTTTTTTGAAGGTTTTTCTTCTTTAAATTTATATGAAGAGAAATTTTTCACAAATAAATATATTAGAATATGATAGATGCAAGTAAATTAATTTCTGACATTTAGGGAATATAACAGCAAGCCCGTAATGTTAACATTGTCTTTTAAAAATTAGTATTTTTCTAGCAATTTAGTGACTACTTAAGGGCTTCAGTGAAGTTTTGCTAAAAGTATATGATTGTTGGGCAAAAATGGTAAGTTGTACCTGAAACTTTATCCAAACTCAATTAAAACCGATATGAAACCACCGAAACTTAAAACGATGAAGAGCTTATGGGATTAGAGAAGATCATAAAGATTTGAAGATAAGATTTTGTAGAACCTCTTCAAAATTTAGATGCTATAAAGATTAGAGAATTGAACAATAAAGATGTCACTAAGATACTTAATTAAAATGTTTTGATGGATGCATGTCTAAACTAAGATAAACTTAGAAATGATGATATATAGGCATGGCGAAAATATCACGGCATTAGAGATGAAACTTGGTTATTAGGGCATATATAATGGAATATAAAAGAAACACAAATAAGGTGAATAAACTGAATTAAGGTAAAAAAGAAAAAATATGCAGATAAATGTGCAAGGATAAACCTTTGGTCAAATGGTTAGAAATCATGCACGAAGCAGTTGCAAAAAAAAATTAAAATTAAAATTTTATGTAACATTCAACATGAATAAAAGGAGAAAGGAAGATTCATGACAATCCCAAATAGTTGGGATAAGTCTAATTGTCATGATGAAGATGTAATCAGGAAGGTTTGATGGCAAGAATCAAGGAGGGAGAAGAAAAATAAGGAAAGAAACAATGCAAACAACAACTACGTGGTAGAAATTTCCTTCATATAATACAGCAAGTTACTGTTAAGTTGACATTCTTGTGGGCTCCGAAAATTCGGCCCAGGCCTCCCCGCCGCTTTTTCTTTTTATTTGGCAAGGGAGTTTTAATTGATAAGTTCCTAGGTAAATTTTGGAAGGCAGATGTGTTTGTAGATAAGACACTACCCAGAGATTTCGCCCTCATTTTGTGAGGACATTATGATTTGAGTTCTGGTTTCCTATAGTTATAGACCTGGGGTGAATGTTTGTTTAAGGGGATAAATTTGAATCCACCTTAGCTAACAGAGGGCTTTGTGCCCTATCAATCATATCCTATTGATACATATCTCAAGGATTTGATGCTTTTAAGGATCGTATTGGTGCTGTCCATAACCAGTATTTCGTGGTACCCTTTGGTGGCAAAACCACTCGGTTCAGAAGGCCCCGGGTCATAACCGTTTATCCTGCAGTGCCATTTGACGGCAAAATCGTCGGTTAGAGGACACGTACCACGTCCTTATTGACAGGAGATTGTTTGAGAATGGATCCTAGTGATATTTTTGACTTGGCATTTGGCTCTTTGTGAGCTGAAGTAAATTTGAATTTGTCCACCCCGACAGACTATTGCGGAGAGTGGATGTGCTTTGCTTTAAGTGTTTTGATGGATTTATTTCAATTTTTTTTTTTTTATGGAATTTGGAAATTTTGAATTTTCGGGTGGACTTTTGGGAGGCATTTGGAAATGCCTAAAATTAACCCCTCCGATTGAGATATACATTCAACACGACCATCATCGGGGTGTTCAGGGTCATTTTCCTTTATTGATTGAACCCTATCATCTTGACAATATGGGATCAGGTTTCGTAGGCTTTGGACCTTCATTAGTGAATTCTCATTGTTATAGGCCTTCAAGGCCTAATATGAATGTATTAAAACAAATACAATCGTCGCCATGACCGTGTATCTGTTTGAAGGTTCGAACCCTGTCGACTCCTATTGATCCGTATAGAAGGATCAGGTTTGAACTAGAATTCACTTATCAACCCGTGTAGCATCCTTAGACGTCACATGTGTACCAATAACATGTTCGCCAGGGCCCATGCGAGTGTTTGGGGGCATTTTGTAATTGAACCCTATCAACTCCCTTTATCTACTTAGAAGGAACGGGTTCAAATTTAATAACTCGCACAGCATCTCTAGACGTCGCGTGTGTACCAATAACACGCTCGCCGGGACCCATGCGGGTGTTAGATGCTTTTACCCCTTTTAGTGTACCTATGTGTATACAAGCTACAGTGCATATGTGGGGGTATTTTGAACATTCAACAGACCTTTTACGATGGCTTGTTATTATCTATAGATGGAATGTTGTATGCATGATAATTTTTTTTACAACCACTTGTAGCCAAACTGTAGTTTCTTCTGGTTTTTATGATCCTTTCACCAATATTCTCATAGGAGTGTGGTACGAATTACTACATCTTTGTGTACGACTGCTACAGAGGATATCACCAACTCTGACTTTGTTACTTTTTGGAATTGAATATTTCTACTTGTTCTTTCAAGTTAGATAGTAGAACTATTGCACTTGTTGTATATCAACCTTGTATCGTAGAAGACTAAGGCATTCATCTGTATTTTGATAAGTGTTGACTGTAGGATCCTTCTGTACCCACTTCCCCTTGCTACATAGCTTGTAGATTCCTTTAATTGTCATAAATTCCTCTATGTTTTACTTGTGATCCTTCGTATTCATAACAACTCATTAGTTATTACGTTCCAATAGATTATATCGGGCGTAGTTGCTTATAGATAGAGTACTGTGTATTTATTTGCAAATTAATCGTCATTGATTGAAAGGAAGTTATCTCTTTCACATTCTTCCTTCTTTGTTTGTAGACCTACTATATCATCATGTATGATAACTAGCAAATCACCATATTCATTATATTGTACTAAAGTTCTCGGCATCTTCTCTACAATCTTCTCAAGTTCTTCATAAGCAAGCTACACTTATTGCATGTTGCACTTCTCCCAGTCTTCTTGAATACTTTTATTGGAATCTCCTTAAAGATACTCACAGGATGTTTGTCATCCTCGCTTGATTTTTCTCATGTATAAGTATTAAATGCAAGGCATCATCACATTCGTTGCGAAACAGTTCTTTTCAGTTGTAGGAGGCTTATGTGTTCGTTCTACCTTTAAAGAAAATTTGGCATATGCGTGATAAATCAGATATTCATTCCTTGCCTGGCATGAAGACTTTTAACACTTATGTGAAGCTTCATGCTATTGGTTGTAGGTATGTCATTGCATTTATGCTCTTGCAATCATTACAATTATCCCAAATTACCCACATGCTTGATTGGGATAGATGTATGAATCATTCATGAACATGCTAAATTGAAATACATGAATCCCTTATTTATCCATTTGATATTCATTTGAATATATGTTGGACTAAGTACTGGTTCATCACATGATATCTTGAGCTTAGTCTCTTATAATCCCTTCAAATTAGATCATTTATGATTCATTTCATTCAAATTCTTATGTTTCGACTTGAGTTCAAGCTCAAGTGTAGTTATTTATGAGTTCTCTTGCTCTTGGTCCAAACTCTAGTTCTCTGCGGTCCAAGAATGATTCAAGTCCCCTGTAGTTCAATTCAAATTATTTTTCAATGTGCAAATTCAAATCTCATGTTCATTTGAGTTCGTCATGGTTCAATTCTTTGAGTTCAAAATCTTCTATTCAAATCTTAGGCCGAGTTCACATTTAAGTCCATGAGTTCAGGTTCATTTGAATTCAAATTTGTGTTCAATTGAATTCAGGTTTTAGTCCAACTTGAGTCCAACTCAAGTCTTATAGAAGTTCTCTGCTGTCCATGTCTTGTTCAAGTGATCCTTGTAGTTGTCCCAAATTACAATCTTAAGTACAAGTTCTTTGCATTCATTCTTTTGAGTTCAATCAAATTCTCTTATATTTTCAAATTCACTTGAATTTTAAGTTCATTTTGTTCAAATAAGTCCAAGTCCAAGATCATTTTTTGTTCAAGTCCTTGGATTTTCAATCCAAATTTCGGCAGCCTCCCAACGTCTCCCCCGTTTAGGGGAAAACCAAGAGGCAACCTTCCCCTCGACGCTACGTGAGCACTTCAGGTAGGTGTCAAAAATGACACCGCGGTCGCATAAATTTTTTTATCCCCGCCCGCTACGTGAGCGTTTAAGGGTGTTTTTTTATTTTTTTTTTAAATTATAAGAAGAAAGCATATGTTAGAAAAACACAAATTTCCCCCATCTGCACCACATGGGCGTTCGGGAGTACTTAATATAAAAATAAAGAAAATATTTTTTTTTATCCCCTTCGCCGCAAGCGCCGCACCGGTTTCCCTCCCTACAACACTACTTGAGCGTGTAGGGGGTTTGCCAGCTCGTTGCTAGCATTGAAGAAGGATTCTTAAATCGACGCAAGTGCCGCGCCGGTTTCCCTCCCTACAACGCTACGTGAGCGCGTAGGGGGTTTGCCGGCCCGTTGCAAGCCACGAGAAAAAAATCAACATTCCTTATTTAAATTATAATTAATGATAATCAATTATAATTTAAAAACAATTAATTATAATTTAAAAACAATTAATCATATTTAACTATAACTACTAATAATTAATTTAAATTAAAATAATTAATTTTAATAATTTATAGTTAATTATTAATAAAAATAATTAACCATAACAATTAAATTAATTATAATTTATTTTAATTTAAAACTAATTATTATTATTAATTAATTAAATATAATTAAATATTTAATTATAATAATTATAATTTACTATAATTAACTAATAATAATAATTAATTATAATTTAATAATAATAAAAACAAATTACCTATACCTAAGGGGGATATCGGGTAAGAGCAGAGAGGGGGTCATGGCTCGGGCAAGGCAGAGGAGACAAGGCGGTAGCTGCTTGGGATCGGCTGAGAGGTTGGATCAGGCAAGGGGATCGTAAGAGGGATCGACGTGAGGTAAGGGAGATTCGGCTCTCTCTCTCCCTCTCTCTGTGTCTCTCGGCTTGTGCAAGAGATCGGCACAAGCAGGCAATAGATCGGGCTTTGGTCGGAGAGCTCGGGAGATCCCGTCAGGGTCGGGACTGGGGAAGGCAGGGCACGGCTTTGGCTTGATGGGAGGAGGAAGGCTACGAGAGGTGGGGCTGAGCGTGGAAGCAGAGGGAGAATCGGTGTTCGAGTCGAGCGAATGGAAGAAGCTCTGTATGTGGGGAGTGTCGCGGGAGAAGAAAGGTCGAAGGCTTTGGGTTGTGTATGGAGTCGAGCGTGGAGAGCAGCCGGAGAAGTGAGACCTCGCTCCCATTTTAACGACGCAAATGAGCAGGAGTTTCGCATACGGGAGAAAGGACGTGAGTTCGGCGCCGCTGTAGAGGGATGGGCGACTGTAACAAAGCGGGATTTGCGATCGTTTTGCCAGGATATCCGACATAGGTAATGATTTATGCATTTTTTTTATTTCTTTTGTTTGTTTCTGTTTGGCAATAGATTATAGGTCAACAATTCTAAAATACCTTAGCATAAAAAATTCTACTCCTAAGCATGCATGGTGGAATATTTCAATTTTTTTACTTACCTTCAAGTAGTTAATACTTAGACCAGCAAATAATTGTCTCCACCCTTGTTCATGAATGATTGTGGAGATCCCTTGCATTGTGCTTGTGATGCGAGGAGCACTAATTTGATTCAATTGTTGTTGACTCTGAACCTGAAAATTTGATGAATAAAAAATAATGGTTATCTGTAATTCACCTAAATAATTAAGATCAGATGAACTCCCCCACCAAGGGTTATAAAAAAACTTCTTATCATAGAGCTACAGATATTGGATCATCCGAACAGAAATGTACCTGCATCTGTCTCCTGACAACATCTAATGGATATGTAAGAGTTTGTCCAAATAAGCCTGCTAAAGCACCACAACAGAGGCGCAAAGCAACTGAGTTCTTATAATCTTCAGGAACGCGGGACTTGAGTTCTTCATATATGTAAAATTTTAGTCCAGCATAGGGCAAGATGCCAGTAAGGGTTGGACCTGCATGTGACGGTAGGTTAGGAAGCAAACACCTTTACTAAGTTATTTAAGGTCAATTACACAACTCTCCTATTCTGATTGACAGTATAAAATCCAAAATATTTTAAATTAAAAAATATCATGAAATCACCCCCTGAACAAATGCTCAGACAATAAAAAAAAAAAAAGCCATCCATAACAAAATATAGAACAAAACAGAGAACATCTCCATTATTTCACACATGGTATATAAAATTGGCACATGTATATAAAGCATGATGACTTACCAACACCACGGTATAGGGACCGCAATCCACCTTCCTTGTAGACGCTCCAGAAGACATCTTTTATTCCAGTATAATATGGCAGGGGAGGCAGACGCCTCAAACCGTGGCCAAATTGTCCATTGTTTGCCACCTAAAGAGAAAGAGTAAGTTAAGGTAACAGCAAGCACAAGTTTGAAAAATGTTACAAAACCGCACCAAAGTGGTTGATGTTTGAATAGACATGGGGTGATCATAAAGATGGCATTTCCATTTTGGTACTAAATGTCACATGTATATAAGAGCAAGTATAGACTAGATGACATGAATTACCTAGAGTGCACGACAGAATTTCAAGTAGCCTAGTATACTATTATCAAAGATAAAGAGTACCAGCTAAAACTTGAATAAAACAAACGCCTAAAATTTAATGACACGTGCGGTATGATAATGGCAGAGATGAAATCATAAGGTCTTTTAATCAAATGATTAAAAAAGCTGAGAAGGCTCCAAGCAGTTTTATTGAAGTTCAAAGATCATGAAGACAACATAGCAGCAAACACACCAAAAAATACATATTAGAACAAAACTTATAAAAAGTATTGAATTCTTGTTTAAGCCTAATGAGAAGAAAATTTCTATTTCATTCTAAAGAACAAAATTTCTGAATACAACGTACATTCTATTCTATTCATGTATTTTCTCTTCTAGAATTTTGTAGCTCCATAACTTACTATACAAGTATTTATCCCAAGTATTTGTTGCTAGCTTCATCACTTTTTATTCTTCATTTATTCCTACTAAGTATTGCATGAAATGACAAACCCATTATGTACAAACCCTTTTTGTGCAAGCCCTTCTACGTGTTTCCTTTAGTCTAACTTTTTTCTTTCTATTTCTTCAACATCAAATTTATATATGTCATATTAATCAATCACTACTCTAATGTTATCTACCCATCATATTAATCAATCTCTACACTTTGTCGTACACATCCAAACCACATGAAGTGATCTGAAAGGATCTCTGTCACATTTTTTAAGATCTAATCTACAATACTTCCCACAGTGAACAAACAAGCCTAAGAATCTATGGAAGGCTATCATTCTTGAATATAAACACAGATTATGATGCATCAGTTGGTGCCATTAAGAGTTTTAGATGGAGGGGAACAAGCTAAATAACCCCTAAGTTAGGGGCCGTCAAAAATAAACGTACGGAAAGAGAATTATTCATAATACTTTCCACAACTAGCTCCTAAAATTTTGGGAAAAAATTGCTATATTAAATTTTAATGTTTGTTTAAGATTTAAAAATACAAATTGCTCTGTATGAAATTTTGCTTCATTGGAAAGTTAATCCCACATTTCGTGCCAAGATTTTAGAGTTAATTGCTTCTTTTTTTAGTATAAGACATTTTTTCAAGCATACTTATCCAATTAGATAATGTTTAAATTGAATTTAGTTATCCATATTCTTAATCCTATAAATTAGCATATAAGAAACTACAATTAGCAACTCTCTATTTCAATTTTATGCATTAACCTAGTTTAGTATCAGGGATCATTATATCCCTATAAAATTAAAACCCTTGTTAATTGATTTTGACGTCTTCATTTTCTTAAAACTCTAGAAAATCCACTTGTAGAAACCTAAAGTTTGCGGGTACCCTTGTGTGACCCATTATCTAGGGTAATTGGTTCGAGAAGCCTATCCCTTAATCTCAATTAGTGATAAACAAGTAGCACACACATAAACACTAAAATACTTGTACCAGCTTAGGAGCAAGTATGATGAACAATAAAATTGCAAAAAAATATCAAGTATCATAAAAAGAGAACATCAAAATTTACAAGATTTGGTTTAAACAAGCTTACATCCATAGGCGATGATTAGATCCAATCCACTAAAAAATCACAATCAAGGTACACAATAAAAGAATACGCACCAACTCTTCTCAAATCTGAGCACATCCTTACTCATACATGCTAATAGTGCCAAATACTGCACACCATGAAGCATGACGCGGTTCATTGCATTGTGCTATCCATGCACAATAGCGCAGGCCGCATTACACCTTAGCTTGAGATAATTTATTCAAGTTTTAAATTAATTTTAATATTACCCATATATTATTTATTAATTTTATTGATTTAAATTAGATTAGATTTATGCGATGCAAAGGCATTAGCTTTTAATGATTTATATAATAGATTAGATACTAAAGAGGGAGAAAGATATATGTATAAGTTAGCCAAACAAAGAGATAGGAGTATATTTTAATTTATGAATTGAACAGGATAAACATGAGAGCACTCGACCTCCTTCTCTTTGGTATCATCATGGTCTGATTGAATGCTTCACTAATTTACTTTTAAATTCTCATATGACAGTTTAATTTTCTTATTCCCCTTTTTGTTCATAAAAACAATGGCTATGGAATTTGATATTGTTTTCTCTAAACTAGAATTAAGTACTATATGAACTATTCGGTATTAAATTTTCTAATGAATTTGAAGTGTTAAATGATTAGAAGTTGTAAATGATTACAAGTATTAATAAACTATATGATGTTGAAAATGCGCTTATGAAAATTTTTACAGACTTTGAGGAATGGCTTCTAAAAAATTAACTAAATCTTTTCTTATTTATGTCATCAATTTCAACTATTGGTTGAAGCGTTGAATACTTGAACCTAAGCATCATTTTGATTGTTTTCATTATCATGATGGTTTATCTTTCAATCCAGTATCCTTTTATATTTCGCTGCATTTTTATTAATAATTTTTTTATATTTATGTCATGTTTAATATTACGCGCGTTATACCATGTGCCATTTGCTACGACTCGACAAGGATGTTTGCACTACGATGCACCATTCACCATTAACAAGTATGTCTCACTCAACAAAGAAAAAGAGAGGTTCACATTTCACAAGATAAAATAGAATAACTTACAAAATATAACATAGAAAAAGTATTAAACAAATACAAAAAATAACACACTACAAATATTCCTAAGAATTTATTAGTTCATTGAGATGATAGTTTGAACCCCAACAAAAGAACATTTAGTAATCTCCTACACTCTTTTTTAGTTGCGCGTCCTCTTTTTAAGACTCCTCCAAGCCACACACTCTAAACTTCAAAAGCAATGAAGGACTTAGGACTGTGCAATCTTATCAAGCTTAAATGTTGCTCGAGCTAAGTGCAGTGTTTGACATGTAGCACAAATATTGTACTTTGAAATGAGAGACATGTAGCACAAATATTGTACTTTGAAGTGGTATCCATGTAGCACAAATATTGTACTTTGAAATGAGAGACATGTAGCACAAATATTGTACTTTGAAATGAGAGACATGTAGCACAAATATTGTACTTTGAAGTGGTATCACTACATCTGATTGTACACATATCATCAATTTTTTGTGTTGTCGAGTTATGGAGCATAGGCTGCGGCGTGATACTGATGTTTCTCAAAATCAATTTGGATTTATGCCGGGTAGGTTGACTATGTTGTTGTTGAAATAGTCATCTACTCACCTTAAAGACAATAATTAAATGAATTGGTATTGTGACAAATCAAGAAACATAATACTAATCTTTAAAAGCCACTCACCCAACTTGTACCACTCTTTATTCATAAACATTTTCTATAGTCCTAAAGCTAATTCTCCTTTGTTTCACCAAATTAGAGTGCTTCACTAAAGTTGTTGAATACAAGATATTAGAAATCAATGTTGCACTCAACAATTCACAGTCACTAACTTCATTTGCCTTCAGAAAAACCAAAGCACCTTTATAGACCTTAAGAGCATTAACATCAGGGGAGAACTATATCCAACAACATTGAGATTGACCGAGAATATTATGTTATTTCTTGAATATGGTGTTAACTCAAGCAAATAAAATAGTCACACTAACTTGTGTCATCAATCTTAGAACGTTAAAATCTCTAGTCTTGCACAAAAGCACATTTTTCATATAAAAGCAATGGCAAAAACTTAGTTCAAGCATTGAAAACATCTCCAAAATAGAATACATGTGATTTGAAAATGTTAAGTCTATAATTCACTGCTTTTTGTACCTATCTCCATCAGTCGCTAAAACAGCATCAACAATATTAGAACAAAACCAATCTACAACTAAACTTGCTTCTACTAACTTCTCCTCCTTAAAGTCATCATTGCAAGTTGCTATGTCCTCTTCAAAGCATAACTATCTCTCCTATCTTCTCCTTGTGCAATTATTTTCTATTCAACTTATATGCATAAGATATAAATTGATTAAACACTATTTTCATTTCTTGAAATATGAATGTCATATGCTACCACTATATAAAGTTTAACTTAAATTATTGTGTTTATCTCTTATTTCATATCCAATAGGAATTCATTAAAAGCCATCCTAATAGCATCAATATTTACATTCAAAACATCCCTATTAATTATCTTATAATCCTGAATCCATAGATAACAGCTTTCCATCAACAATAATCTAGCAATATATAAACAACAAATTTCCATCTACATCAATCAGTGGACAACAATATTTCTTTTTTTACTATAGTCAATTTTATATTTAAAAAAATCATATATATATATATATATATTCATGATAGTTATTTATCTGCCTATTTATGAATAACTTAACATTTACAAAAATAAAGAAAAAATTCATTCGTCTAATATCTCATTTTTTTACTCCTCTCTTCTCATTCTAATTTTCAAGCTATAAATTATTTTAATTACTATTTTGTGGTGTGATAATTTCCTTTATTTGCTGACCATCATGATCTTAATCCATTGATGTGTTGGCAAATTTCCTTGAAGTATCGTGAAAGAATGCTTGAAAAAGACAATCAAGGAACATTTTGCAAGTTATTGAAGCATCATAGATGAACTGATAAATTACCTGATAAGCCAGTTTAGTCCGAGTCAAATCCAATGGATAAGTACATAACACAGCAGTCCCTCCGGCCGCTGAGCCAGCCAAAAGATCAATGAAAGGTCCAGTGCCCAATGATGAGAAATTATTTAGAATTAAACACCGGTACTGTTCGTAAGTCATGAAGTGTAATGCCGCATAAGGCACTATTCGTAGCACACTCGCTCCATTTCCTCTAGAACAAATTAAAATAAAAACCATCAAACAATAGAAAATTTATGGAAAGAGAAAAACTCAGTCACTTATGACGCACTTGTAGAACCCGAATACACCCTCATGCTGCTTCAGTTTCTTCATAGATCGCAAAATCCCAAGAGATTTGAACTCCTCGGTTCTCGTCTATCAATTCAAATAAGAATTTAAAAAGAGATCGAACAATAATCCAACCAACGTTATGCCAAACATGATGAAAAAAAATTGCAAGACAAAACATTCCAACCTGCAAGAGAATCTTAATCCGCTCAAGAGGAGCCACGGCCGTTTTCGAGAACGCTCCAGCGGCGCCTCCGGCAATAAGCTCCTTGACGTAAACCGGCAGCACATCTAACAATCGGATGTCGACATCCGCCGCCGCCGCCGTCGCCGACGTCGTCGGCGTCAGCGTCGACCCCTGTGAAGGTCCCATATCCAACAAACGAGAAAAAAACCCTGCCGAAAACAAACAACAGCAAAGGAAAGAGAGCCGGCAGAACCTAATCAACCGGCTTGTAATTTCGCAAACTCCTTATCCCATCGATCTCGGGAGAGACAGAAACGGAAAAGTCCCCTGTGGAAAGGTGGGAACACGGGAAGCTTGTGATGACCAAGAAAATCGCAAGGTTTCCTCGCATCCGAAACAGACCCGACGAGGATAAGATTCATCAACAGCGAAAGCACAGGAGATGATCCGGAAGGGGTTTACGATTCAAAATCTGGAAACGAAGAGAAACCCTATGGAATAGGAAGCAAAGGAAATCGGTGCAATATGAGAGAACGTTGTCCAAATCGATATCTCAATGAACCAAATTGTTGAGGAGGAGAGAAGATGAGGACAAAGCCAGACATAAAGATTCCTTCTTTTTATTTTTGATCAGCAAAAATTCCAACCATTCTTGCCTCTCTGTTTCCCTGTTTACCCTATATGTGTGGCTATTTCGATGCTGATTCCTTAGTTTCCTCCTATGTTTTCGCTTCTGTGATTGGGAGAGCTTGGGCTGCGGTATCCGGGGCGATGGAGAAAGTCGCGGTACAGATTCATTAATGGAATATCATATGATATTGGTAGGGCCTATTCTGGATTCAACTAATGCAAAAAAAATTTATTTATTTATTTGAAAAACTTATGGACAAATATGTCCATAAGCTTTAAAAAATGAACAGTTAAAAAAATTACAAAATGGATAAGTAAGACAAATTAGAAAAAACTTATAAATCCTGAAAAGAAATAAGGCAATAAAGCTAAAACAACAAAAGAGACTAAGAATAAATAAAACCCTTGGACTCAGAATTATTATTGAAGCTTCGTTAAATTGTATCTAATATAACTCAAATAAGAGAATTCTTTTTTAAAAAGATAGCTACGCAAAAAAACAGGCAATATTGTCTTTAACCTTATAATAATCAAGTTCCTTAGGTGTTAAGGAATTAACCTGAGGATAAGAACCAAAGCCCAGCTCAAATCTCAACCCGAATTCCTAAAAATTCGCAAGAAATCCTGCGTACCTGACACTATTTAGCGCCGACAGCGTTCAGCTCACGCGATTCCTGCATAAATCCTGCTCAACTGCTCCATTTGTGTGGATAAAATGAGGACTGAAGTAGAGCATTGAGACATTTCTTCCCCTCCCATGAGAGAGCTCCAGACCGACGCCTCTCTTCCATTCGGAAGGTCCCTCTCGATCCATCTCGTATTGTAGCCGAACATAACCTCCAGACCGAACTCCAGCATACATTGAACTCTTCCTACCTATCAGAACTCACTGAAGCCGCAGACCGCAAGCCATCTTATCCCTTCTTCCGCTAACCTCCACCCTTGTGAAGCCTCCAAGCTGCCTCCAACCTAGTCCTCCTCTACCAAGGCCAACCATCCCTTATAACAAAACCAGGGACAAAACCCTTTGCCCGTCTGTAGCCTGACACCCCCTTGCCAACCTTAACAACAAGCAACCAAGCCTTCTCCATCTCCTCCTTGTTCGATCTCCCCTTTGCCGAAGCCAACTCGGGACCTCATCCTATTTGTGAACCCTGATCAAGGCTGACCGTCCCTTATAGCAAAACAAGGGTCGAAACCCTTTGCCCGTCTGTAGCCCGATATCTCTCCGACCTCCCCTCCGTTCTAGCCGCAAATCCCCATTTATCTCTTAGCCTCATTCTCGCAAGCCGAGAGCCCAAATCCTTTGTCGACCCTCATCTAGCCTTAGTCACAAGCAACTGTTGCAACCCATGACCCCGAGTTTGAGATTTTGATGATGCCAAATAATTAGTGTTTTGGAACAACTATTCATTGAATATTATTTTATTTGCTATTGTCCTTGAGTACTAACATTTCAGGAAGATCACAAGTGACTCAGGACGAAAAGAAGACTCAAGACCAGGTAGATTAGGAGTATGAGTCAAACATTGTATTTTTCTATTTATTTTATTGAGTCTGGCCAAAAATGCATAAGAGTAAGAGCAATCATGCACACACACAGGGGGAAGAGAGAGATTCCATCTCTGCTCATTCGTATGGTACGATCTGGTTCGTACCGTACATGTTCAAAATTTAATTAGGCCTGGATTTCATGCACTAATCACGGGTTAATTTAAGTAAGATATTTAAATATAGATCGTACAGTACGAAACATGTTTCGTACAGTACGAACGGCGTAAAATCACTTAAACTAAACTACGGCTAGAGTTTTGGATCTGAACATATCGTACATTACGAATACATTCGTACAGTACGATCTATTCACAGAATCGTCCACATAGCTTGGATTCTACGGTACGAATTACAATCGTACAGTACGATCTCTAGACAAGAAATTTTATTACATTTTGCAGTTAAAAAACAACTCTCCCCT